CCAGCCTTGCCTCATAACTCAAACCGTCCAGTCTCGTTAACTTCCTTGTAAATCTTTATTGCACCCTTTCCAGTTTAATAACATCCTTGCTGTAACAGGGTGACCAGAATAGTACGCAGTACTCCAAATTGTGACCTTACCAATACCTTGTACAGCTGTAACGTGATGTCCCAACTCCTGTACTCAATGCTCTGACCAATGAAGGCAAGCGTTCCAAAAGCATTCTTCACCACCATCTCTACCTGAGACACCACCTTTAAGCAACTATGTACCTGCACTCCTAGGTCTCTCTGTTCGACAACACTCCCCAGGGCGCTACCATTAACTGTTTAAGTCCTGCCCTGGTTTGTCTTACCAAAATGTTACACCTTGCATTTATATAAATTAAACTCCACCTGCTATTCCTTGGGCCACTGGCCTGGTCAATCAAGATCCCATTGTGTTCTTAGTTAACCTTCTTTACTGTCCACTATACTACCAATCTTGGTGTCATCCTCAAGCTTATTAACCATGCCTTCTATATTCTCATCCAAATTGTTGATATAAATGATGAACAACAGAACAACGGACCCATCAACGATCCTTGTGGCACACTGCTGGTCACAGACCTCCAGTCTGAACAACAAACTTCTACCACCACCTTTGATCTCCTACGATCAAGCCAATTTTGTATCCAATTGGCCAGCTCTCCCTGGATCCCATGTGATCTAACCTTACTAACATAAGGTTAGTAGCTCTGCTACAATGAGCTGCCAGAGAAAGTGGATACAATTACAACATTTAAAAGACATTTGGACAGGTACATGGATAGGAAAGGTTAAGAGGGATATGGGCCAAGCGCAAGCAACTAGGGCTAGTTCAGTTTAGGAAACCTGGTCTGCATGGATGAGTTGGAGACTTGGAGACCATTTCGTATAGCATGTGTGTTCTGTAGGCAATGAACGTCAACACCTTCCGGTTACCAACCATTTTAACTCCCCCTCCCACTCCCTGGGTGACATGCCCATCCTGGGCCTCCTCCAGTGTCAACAATGACACCGCCCGAAAACTGGAGGAGCAGCACCTCATATTCCACCTTGGGAGCCTACAGCCCGATGGCCTAAACATGGAATTCACCAGTTTTAAAATCTCTTCACCACCGACCTCATCCCATGTCCGACCCTCCCTCTCATCCCTGCCTCCTTGACCTGACACAACCTGTCCGTCTTCTTTCCCAATTATCCGCTCCTCCCACCTCACTGACCAATCCCCACCACTGTCTACCTGCACTCAGCTATCACCATCCCACCACCTTTCCCAGCCCAACCCCCCCTCTCTATTTATTTCAGAGCTCCCTTCCCCCTCCCCCATTTCTGAAGAAGGGTCCTGAACCGAAACATCAGCTTTCCTGCTCCTCTGATGCTGCCTGGCCTGCTGTGTTCCTCCACACTGTGTTATCTCTGACTCCAGCATCGGCAGTTCTTACTATCTCTGAGAGTCCCATATGACTCTTCTTCAGATCTTCTGTGCAGCATTCAAGTGACTTCCAAGAAACACTGCACTGATTGTGTAAATACTGTCAAGGTGAAGGTAGAGGTAGAGGTGGGCAAGTAGAGGAAGAGAAGCGAATGGACGTACCGTTGTTTAACACAGCAGACAATCACAGCGATAACAATAAGCAGAACCACGCCTCCAGCAACAGCAACAGCAATTGTTATAATCTCCATCGAATCTGTTTCGGAAAAAGAATACGTCATTGCTCATTAACCTGTAATGATGAGAAGAGGGCACTGTGTAGCCTATGTCGATGTCTTGAGTCATACAAATGTAGGGACTTATCCCAGTAAACTGCCCAGCAAGCTTCAGAACCGAATGGGGGTATATTTTGGCAGGATGAGGCCATTTAGCCGCTCAAGCCATTTGATGATATCACTGTTGATCTGTATCTCAATCCCTTAATGCCACATCCCTTCAGTGTTGGACAGTGTCAGGTGTGAAGACACCACAGCCTCAAGAACAAAGGCACAGTTTCCAGACTGAAGGCTAAAAGGTTACAGAGCAACGGACTTAGTTCCTTTGGAAAATTAGAGAGAGTTGAAGTTGTCAAAGTCAACAGCAGTAGAAGCTGGGTCAATTGGTCCTGTGAGGAAAGCCAAACATAGAATCTCTACAGCTTGGAAACAGGCCATTTGGCCCATTCAATCCACACTGACCCTCCAAACAGCATCCTACCCAGACCTACCCCACATACTCCAACCCTGTAACCCTGCATTTCCCATGGCTAACCCACCTAGCCTACATATTCCTATCCATGATGGGTAATTTAGCACGTCCAAACCACCTAACCTGCACATCATTGGACTTGGGAGGAAACCGGAGCACCCAGAGGAAACCCACACAGGCACGGGGAGAATGTGCAAACTCCACACAGACAGTCGCCCAAGGCTGGAATTGGACCTGGGTCCCTGGTGCTGTGAGGCAGCAGTGCTAACCACTGAGCCACTGTGACATCTGCAGGATACTGATTAGAGTCGGGGAACACTCACTATGGAGTTCGATTGCTACCACAGAAATTGTTGAATATTTCAGAAGCAGTAATCAACAGTTTCTTCCTTATTCCGAAGACCGCTGTGACCCAAGACATCGCTAGCTGCAACAAGGTCGGTCAGGCCTGAATCCACCCCTTCAGGTAGGTGTAGCAAACCTATTACTCCCAGGCTAACCCATACTTGCTTTCTAACATCCTAACTTGTAAGTACGGAAAAACAGACAGCTTCAAAGTAAAAAGCTGGGAACCCAAAAGCAAAGTACACTAAAACATCCATGACCACCACGATAGCCCCTGGCAGCTGATTAAGTTGAATTGCTTTTATATTGCATTGAACTTTGGGATCACATTTAGCAATCACATTTGTAGACTGAAAACCTGGGATCTCATGCATTACACACAAAAAACGTGCAATACAATGGGAACTGCAGAAAGGAAGTACCATACCCAATTCTGAAACTGTTGTAGTATTTAAGGAAAAATAAAATCAACGAAAAGAACGCATTCATGGGACTACAAGGTGCAGAGCTGGATGAACACAGCAGGCCAAGAAGGGTCTAGGCCCGAAACGTCAGCCTTCCTGCTCCTATGATGCTGCTTGGCCTGCTGTGTTCATCCAGCTCTGCAGCTTGTTGTCTCGGATTCTCCAGCATCTGCAGTTCCTACTATCTCGCATTCATGGGACTAAAACCTACCTTGAAGGAGCAATTGCTGTACAATCTATTTCCTGGGTAGGGCAGATGAAAGGTCTCAGATTTCCAATGCTACCCTGAATGCAGTTTGCAGTAAATCGGAGTGTTGTATAATTCCTTATCAACATCAGAACATCGACTACACTTGTAAAAGTTCTCAGGAGCAAATTACCGCAGAAGCTGGAATCTGAACTGAAAACAAAAATTACTGAGGATCACAGTGGGTCAGGCAGCATCCATGGAGAGAGAACAAGCTAATGTTTCGAGTTTAAATGACTCTTCATCACCGTTAGCTTGCTTTCTCTCCATAGATGCTGCCTGACCCGCTGTGATCCCCAGGATGTTTGGTTTCCAGTTGTGAAAATTCTACATTGGCTGTAAAACTCGATAAAATTATGGGGATTCACGGATGTCACCAATTTCTTTACTTTGACATCTTTCTCTGCTCCTTTGCTGTGCCTTCATTTTTGTTGCATTAATTGAAAATGTTAAGTCCTATGGCTGAATTTAACTCCTACTGGGCACCTTTGTCCCTTTTGTTTTAATCCCGACTGACCTGCACACAAAAGGCTGTATTCTCTAACTACAACACTACCCTCGTTAGCTTTGTGTTGTATACGGTCATGGCTCTGAATGGGTTCATGCTGAAAACTGCATTAAGCTCCGCCCAGTGTCACATCGTAAGAATTTGGAGGGACCAAACAGCTCAGTATCTGGAAGATGATGGACTCACAATCGATATTTTCCTCATTGTCTGAGTAACCCTGTCTGTACCTGATTGCTATCATGCAATAAACTGCATCTTGTTCAGGACAAGCGTCTCTCCTCGTTAAGACTATCGAGTGAGTGGCTTTCCTCCATCACTCTAGACAAAGCAAATCACAACCTAAAAGTAAGATGGTGGCAGCAAATCTACATTATGGTCCCCAAGAGTCCAGCTGGTTCATACTAGGCTGGGCTTTTAAGTATATTAAAGGCTGACCACAAGAACATAAGAACTAGGAGCAGGAGTAGGCAATCTGGCCCCTCGAGCCTGCTCCCCCATTCAATAAGATCATGGCTGATCTTTTTGAGACTCAGCTCCACTTACCTGCCCACTCACCATAACCCTTAATTCATTTACTGTTCAAAAATTTATCTTTGCCTTAAAAACATTCAATGAGGCAGCTTCAACCACTTCAGCGTTCAGGGAATTCCACAGATTCACAACTCTGTGGCTGAAGAAGTTCCTCCTCAATACAGTCCTAAGATAGACAGGGTTTTAAATCAGTAAGCAGATACGGGGTTGTGGGGAAAAGGCAGGAAAGTGGAGTTGAGGATTATCAGATTGGCCTTAATCTCATTGAATGGCATTAACAGACATGATGGGCTGAATGGCCTACTTTTTCTCCTATATCTTACAATGTGGTGCCACTCTGACAATTTAGTTTAGCGACTCTGTTAGAAGAGTCTGGAATCAAAAATTCTGACATTATAGACATAATGTTATAAATATTTGACATCATTGGATCTTTACAACAAAAATAGTGACTTATAAATCAATGCACAATGTCTCCATTTCCAGTTATAATAAATACTGCATAATCCAGCATAAATACTGCTAGAGAAAATATAGTTTAGAGTGTCTTTTTATAGGTTAAAGACTAGGTGCAGTAATGAAGAATAATCAACACTTGGACTGTGAATAAGTTATATAAAATACACCAGATGTAACTGAAGTGCTACTTAAATCAGGTTATCTTTCAGTTAATTTAGCATGATTTAGCGTAACTGCTTCCTACCTTCACGTACCAGCACCTGAAACTTCAGGTTCAGGCGTCCACTTGAAGTCTCGCAGTTGGATACATTCAGCCAGAACCTGTGGTACAGTTCGGGGAGCGACTGTGGGATCGTGTCCGATTCCCTGTAGCTCAGGTGGGTGCCGTCAGTGATCTGCTCGATGATCACAATGGTCACGTGCCCATGTTCACATTTGGGGATCGACTGCTCTACAAAAGTAAGCTCAGCCACGTGATCCGGAGGAACAGAGATATTCCACGATGCTGTTAACTTGTTGGGCATTCCAGGACCCCAGTTAGGGCTCAGGAGGTACACCAGAGAGTTGACATCCGGGATAATGTTCATAATGTAGTCCTCTGCCGGATAAAGACAGATAAAAAGTGAAGTGAAACGGAAAGAAGATTGTGAAAGTCCCTCACCCGTGTCTGTAAGGTACAGCAACCACTACCATTACTGTAACACTCAGTTCAAGGCTTCTCAAAAAGTGAGGGCATTGGGTCATTGTGACTAGGCTAGGAACGCAGAAGTGAAAAACAGAAATTGCTGGAGAAACTGCTCTGAAGAAGGATCACTCGACTCGAAATGCTAACTCTGCACTCTTTCCACAGATACTGCCCGACCTGCTGAGTGTCACCAGCAATTACTGTTTGTGCTTCTGATTTGCATCATCTGCAGTTCTTTGATTAACTACAGTCAGGCAGAGACCCAGGATAACACTCATCGAGACCATAGGTTCAAACTGCACCTGGCCTATGGGTGAAATTTTAATTCGTTCCATAAATCTGCAATATTAAACTAATTTCAGTGATGGTGACCATGACAACTATTATTGATAAAGCCCCATCAGTTTCACTAATGTCCTTTAGGGGAGAAAGTCTGCCATCCTTACCTGGTTTGGCTTACATGTGACTCCAGACCACAGCAATGTGGTTGACTCTTAACTGCCCTCTGAAATGGCCCTAGCAAGCAACTCAGTCCAAGGGCAAAAATGAACTTTCTAACAAAATATTTTGGAAAATCGAGGAGGAAGAGAAAATAGGCAAAAAACAAGAGAAAGTCTTACCATCACAGGAAATCAATTCACTATTCACTGACCAACAATGAGCTGCCATACGTAGTGGGTCAAGGCTGAGAAGTCATTGTTTCAAAAGGACTAGAGAGGACTCAGGGTCATTGGGATCTGGAACACTTGAACTGAAAAAAGGTGATGAAAGTGGACTCTATGGAGAATTTTAAAAACAATCCTACAATTCAAATGATTTTGCAACTGAATTACAAACTTTTAACACATTGTCCCTAACTACAGGGTGAACAGTCAGTGTAGGTCCACTGAAAGAGCCTAGTTGAGTGGTAGCCTGGGTCTCTGTATGGCTATAACAAAGTGAAGAACTGCAGATGCTGGAAATCAGAAACATGCTTAGAAATTACTGGTGAAACTCGGAAGGTCTGGCAGTATCTGTGGAGGGAAAGCAGAGTTAATGTTTCGAGTCTAGTGACCCTTCTTCAGAACAGTTTCTACTTGACGATGAGGAGGTTTCAGTGGAGAGACTAGTCACGACTGCTCTTCCAATGAGCTAGTATGGGCACAGTAGGCTGATTGGCCTCCTCCTGGGTGATAACATTCTATGAGTCAGGATTGACAATATACTGGAGCTACTGAACATTTTCACAATTAGTTGCATGGAATTGCTGTGTTATCCTGCAAAAGCAATCACTTATGAATATTCCCTTTATCCTCCATTAACTTTGCAATATTTGCCCTGAAAAAGGAGAGAATGTGAGTGAAAGGCAAGTCAAAGAGAAACAACGCATCTTTATTGATGATAAAGATGAAATGTCAATAATGTAGTGCACAACTGGGTCTGTTTAACAGAATAATTTTTCCATATCCTACCCAAATTAGTTTCGCGTTAACTGCAATTTAACTGGCACAAACAATTCAGTGAAGAAAACAACTCCATAAGATCTTTGCATGTTGGTCCGAAAGATACTGGATGCCTTGACGTTAGGTCAGGAGTAAGTTTATTTGATTGAGCTATTTAATGGAAAAGTAAGATGCGAATACCAAACATAGTTCAATAGGGAGGAAACATTAATATGAAGCATTAATCACCGTAATAATCTAATGCAAATTACAGAGATTTCAAAGAGGTTTATAAACAGTTAGGTTTTACCCCACCTCTTTCTCCGTTACATCGATGACTGTATTGGCGCCGCCTCGTCCTCCCATCAGGAGCTCGAACAGTTCATCCACTTCACCAACACCTTCCACCCCAATCTTAAGTTCACCTGGACCATCTCTGATACCTCTCTCTCCTTGCTGGACCTCTCTGTTTCCATCCATGGCAACCACCTGGAAACCGATATCCATTTCAAGCCCACCAACTCCCACAGCTACCTAGAATATACCTCCTCCCACCCACCTTCCTGCAAAAATACCATCCCCTATTCCCAATTCCTTCACCTCCGCCGCATCTGCTCCCAGGATGAGGCATTCCACTTCCCTAACATCTCAGATGTCCTCGTTTTTCAAGGAGCGCAACTACCCCCCCTCAGTGGTCGAGAACGCCCTCGACTGTGTCTCCCGCATTTCCCTCAACTCATCCCTCACACCCCCTCCCCACAATAACAACCAAAACAGAATCCCCCTCGTCCTCACGTACCACCCCACCAACCTCCA